AAAACGATTGTAGCAGTACAACTGACAGGGAACTGCCAAAAATTCAAGCCATATTCAGAAGAGGACATGGAATGAGGGATATCGTTGCTGATGTCAGATGGATCTTGGCTGAAAGCAGAGAATACCAGAAAGATGTTTACCTGTGTTTTATTGACTATGCAAAGGCATTCGACTGTGTGAACCATAACAAATTATGGATAACATTGCAAAGAATGAGAATTCTAGAACAGGTAATTGTGCTCATGTGGAACCTGTACATAGACCAAGAGGCAGTCATTAGAACAGAACAAGGGGAAACAGCGTGGTTTAAAATTAGGAAAGGTGTGCATCAGGGTTGTATCTTTTCACCATACTTATACATTCTGTATGCTGAGCAAATAATCCAGGAAGTTGGACTCTGTGAAGAAGAACGTGGCATCAGGATTGGAGGAAGACTCATTAACAACCTGCGATATGCAGGTGACACAGCCTTGCTTGCTGAATGTGAAGAGGACTGGAAGCACTTATGGGTGAAGACAGCCTTCAGTATGGATTACACCTCAACATAAAACAAAAATCCTCACAACTGGACCAGTAGGCAACATGATAAATAGAGAAAATATTGAAGTTATCAAGGATTTCATTTTACCTGGATCCACAATCAATGCCCTTGGAAGCAGCAATCAAGAAATCAAACAACATACTGCATTGGGCAATTCTGCTGCAAAAGACCTTTTTAAAGTGTTAAAAAGAAATATGTCACTTTGAGGACTAAGGAGTGCCTGGCCCAAGCCATGGTCTTTTTAGTCACTACATATGTATGCAAAAGCTGGGCAATGAAGAAGACCAAAGAAGAACTGATGCCTTTAAATTGTGGTGTTGATGAAGAATATTGAATATGCCATGGACTGCCAGAAGAATGAACAGATCCATCTTGGAATAAGTACAGCCATAATACTCCTTAGAAGCGAGGATGGTGAGACTTTGTCTCACTTACTTTGGACATGTTATCAGGAGGGACCAGTCCCCGGAGGCAGGCATCATTCTTGGTAAAGTAGAGGGTCAATGAAAAAGAGGAAGACCCTCAACAAGATGGAATGATACAGTGGCTACAACAATGGGCTCAAACGTAGGAACGATTATGAAGATGGTGCAGGACCAGGCAGTGTTGCATTCTCTTGTACATAAGGTTGCTGTGAGTCGGAACCCACTCGATGGTGCCTAATGTTTCTAGACACTTCTTCTGTAGTTCTCTCTACCACACTTTTAATTCCTGTTGTTTTATAATTAGATTTGATATCTGATAGTGAAAGTCTGGCTTGGTTCTTTTTCTTCAATGGGAAAGACACTTTGTGATTTCATAAATAATTCTAGAATCGGCTTGTTAATTTCCACCAAAAAAAATACAGCTGCGATTTTAATTGGGATTGTACTGAAAGTATAGAGTAATAGAGTTGACATCTTTTGTTCTGGCCGTCTATTGTTGAATAACAAACCATCCCAAACTAAGTGGTATAAAACAGCAATCATTTTTATGCTCATGGATTCTGGGGGTCAGGAATTGGGACAAAGCACAGTGGATATGGCTTTTCTACTCCT